GGAAACACAAGATGCCCGGCTAATCTCATTGTTTGAGAGTGCAATTGTTTCCCACGGGGTGCTGGCCTTTGCAATTATCAAAGGTGCGTTCAACTTGAGAGTCCATTCAGCGCAAGTTTCGAAAAACGTGTTTCACTTCTTGCGAGAATGAGGTCTCAAGTCGTTCTATCTCGTGCGCATTTAAATTTCCAATTTGACATGCAACAAATCAACTTAACATTTTTAATGTCGATGGAATTAGGTCAAATTATTGTACTACCGGACTGTGCGCGGATTGAATACTCGGATCTTGTGAATGAGAAACGAGCGACTTGCTATTGTGATATTTGCAATGCACAAAGGCGATTTGAAGTGCGAGATTCTTTTTAAAATAAATAAAGAATGAATTTTTGGGTTGGGTTCTTATAAGAGGTTTTGGAACAATCACTAAAAAATGGAATTTCATGGTGCCGTACTGAGAGACTTAAACGCAAAGGTACAAACAACTGACAGGGTGTCATTGAGTTAGCGGAGAATTCTTCTCTCGGATTTTGAATTTTGAGTTTATTATAACTCGAGGTTATTCCTAAAAATTTTTCCTGCAAATCCTTGATTACAACAGACTGAATTCGAAGGGGAGATTTATTCTTTGATTTAACTCAACGAAGGCAATATTCTACCATATCTCGGGTACGGAGACTTTTCGCTTGAACTCACGGTTTTTTTAAAGGATCTTTCGGGAAAAGCCACGTAACAGTTACGAGACCGTTACGTTTTTTGCTACCAATTTAAAGTGAAATTAGTTTTTGGTAAAATTTGTTTGATACCTCCTCTCTTTCACTTCCTGTGTTTATCTCTAACTAAAACCAAGCTCTGAGAAACAGAAAAAACATAGATTGATTTTGAGTTCCATTATCCCATTTCCACGATATCAGACACAATCCGGAAATTTCGTGAGAAAAGTTGACAAAAATTAGTTTCGGTTGGAAAAACATTGCTGAACACAAGCGAGATTTTGAAAGTCACCAGCTTTTTTCCCTCGATGAAGCCAGGGACGTGTTGCAGTGCTCGATAAGGGGCTGAACGGGCGGGTCGTCATAAATTCGACGTCAACCAATGATCACGTGATAATGCTTGAAAAAGAAGAAGAAAATTAAAGGAGAGGAAAAGCCAGGCATAGAAGGATTTAATTGGCAGAGCACGCCGGTCACCGGGTTTCGTGCAAAGCGTTAGCGATTAAGCCGGGCACTCGTGTAAAATCAACACATTTAATTGTAATGGATTAGCATTGCCTCGGTCCGGTAATAACACCACCCAAATTGTTCCCTGCCCCAGCGACCAGCAGCTTTCCGGAGGATTCTTCTGGTCCTCAGCGAGATTGCCGAATTTGCCATCAATGGAGATGTTGCATATATGTGTGAGGAATTTGCGATTTGACTGCGTTGATTCTTATGTAAAAGTTTGCGAGAAACACGATGGTGCCTCTGGTTTTCTCTGAAATCAACTCCCAAGCTCAAAAAAAGCTCTCAAGTTGAGGCCAAAATGGAGGGGATATCCCATGTTATCCTGAGAGTCCACCTCTACATCAAGACAAACTCTCCATGCAAAGATAGGGAGCAAATACATTAGCAGTGATGCCGTATTTTCAGTTTTAGAGTCCCCAAATAAAAAGGCAGCCTTGTCAATGTATTTGTTCCCTATCTTTGCATGAAGAGTTCGTCTGGATGTAGAGGTGGACTCTCAGGATAGCAAGGGACAGCCCCTCCATTTTGGCCTCAACTTGAGAGCTTTTTTTGAGCTTGGGAGTTGATTTCAGACAAAACCAGTGGCACCATCGTGTTTCTCGCGAACTTTTACATTAGAATCAGCAGTCAAATTGCAACTTTCTCACACATTCAACATCTCCATTGACAGGAAATGCCCATATCATACAAAAAATTTGGGTAGTACCACATTTTTAGGGGATGATCACTAAAACTTTCTTTCCATGGCACTTGCTTTACAGTAATTCGCTTGACCTTCGAAAGAATGTTGCCACAAAAAAGCCTCGGTCGAATTCTTTGAAGCGCATAAAAATTGGACTAAATAATTAAGAGGAATAAAAAAACCACTTTCATGAGAATCATGTCTCGGGGCATTAAAACAGGTCATTATAATGAATGGTGCAGGCACGAGAGGCCAAAATATGCACGACGGCTCCCAAAATTCGATCTAGGCTCCACCCAGCCGACAATGATTCCATCCTTGCCACTTACCACGGGACGTTAAATTTTCATTATAAATTTGTATTGAGCTACGATAAATTTGATGCTATCCTCGAAGTATTTGCCAACAGAGCAGCGTTGAACGGACGGACGCAAACTTGATTCTCACAGTGCAGGCGAAGGTCTGGCTTAAAGCGTCGAAAATAATTAGTCATAAACACTAAGTATTTTGAGATTCTACGGTGTGAGTATGAGAGAGCTCCTATCATTTTATTCAGGCAAGCGCCTTATCAGTGACCATTAGTCAAAGCGTGAATTTTAGGAGATTGACGGTAAACATTTTAGAGCCGCGGGGCTTAGCCAGCGCACGCTCGGCTGCCAGATTTAAGTGTTACACAGACCAAGCTAGCGGAGGGGCACGAAGTACAATACTATGTAGTCAGAACTAACGATAAGTAGCGCTTTCCTTCACTGGAAAAAAAAACACATCGGATCTAGAGTCCAAACTCTTAAAAACATTGACAAGAAAAAATACTCTTGATTCAATCAGATTTAATCAAGAAGAATTAAATCAAGAACCAAGCCTCTTAATTGGAACGGATTTCCTTTTGATTTGAGCTTAAATCTGATTGAATCAAGAGTATTTTTTCTTGTCAATGTTTTCAAGAGTCTGGACTCTAGATCCAATGTGTTTTTTCCCAGTGTTCCATGAAATAACTAAAAATCCACAAAAGGAAATTTAAAGACTAGTTCCTTAATTGAATTAATTTTGCTCCTTTTCGTCCCACTACCAATAGCAACTAATTAAACGTTCAGGTTTTTTGTGAAATAAAAGGGGTTTTCGATATTTCATATTTTTCGAGGTATTCGTATTTTTGGGATGGGTTCTAGTGTTTTATCGATCATCGTTAGGTATTCTCGATCGAACTCTTGAAAACATGATGAACTCGGCAACCACAACACGGAGCGAGAAGAGGGGGCCCACCCACACACTCGATTGAACCACGAGCGCATGTTCTGTGCAGGACGGAACTGCACCGAAGATACACGAAGTAATAACGCACCGACCGCGCACCATACTGTCGCGTCGTGCCATCTTGAAACCGGCTGAAAATGAAAAAAAAACTCATGAAATCGCGTTGCTTCCGTACACTCATTTTGAATACGATCTCGTTGCATGACATGTGATTGCGGTGGGCGCCACCGGGCGGAAATAGCTGCGTAACACGCGAAACCTGGAAAGGTCAGCGGCGAAGTTTCGCAAGTGAAGGTGTAATGACTCCCGAAGGAATTCGAATAATTACATTGCATTATCTAATTGTAAGCGGAGCGAAAACAAAAACGTGGATGTTTACCGAGAAACGAAAAACTGCGTGGCCGTGGCGGTTGCAAAATTATGAGAAGTGCAAATTTGTATCTTCCTCTTGGGGCAAGGTGGTTCTCGGAGCTGAAACTTGGGTGGCGCAACTATTACCTCGACTATTATTTATCTGTTGTGAGCAATTTCGAGTTCTTCTTCCGTCCTCTAAGCACGTGCATATTAAAGGAACCCAACATCGCAGGTTCTAATAACTTAAAAATGACGAAAGGTCCTCTATAAGTGCGTCGGTACGTACTCTAAAGTTTTGGAGCGTTATCAGGAACGCCATAGGAAAACGAGGTTTATAAGGAAAAAAGTAAATGCGAAAAAATACACGTCACTTCTGACAAGATAGCAATAAGTCCATATCCTAAAACGAGAGATCTCTACCTGCTGTCTTAGTAAAATTGTACAATTATCTACCAATTTCAAAGGCACTTTCCTGTTGTGTGCCCAAAACGTATGACCATGCAAGCATTCTGAAAATGGCACATATTGCTGTCTTACCTGACATAAAATTAGTGAAGTTACTTTTTTTTATAGTCGAGGGTAAAACTCGTCGATATTTATTCATCCAAACAAGTTCGAATACATTTTTAGATGAAAATCAACACTTTGAATGGCTCAGTTGTGCTGGTCACAGAATCGTTTTTTGAAACTTCATTCTTATAGATTGGCTGAAAATAATAAGATCTGTCAAAACAGCAACTCTACGGTCAATATTAACTTAGTATCGCGCTTTGACAAATTCGGTCTATGACTTCCTCCACCGCGGTAGTGACACCCTTGTTTTTCTCCAACTTGCCTTCTATTCGTCCGAGTTTCATGTTGGGTAACCAGTGCAAATATGTACTTCACTAATTGTTGAAAGCAAGGTGGAAGAAACTGAAAGTGTTACGACCGCGGGTGTTGACGTCATAAATCGACCTTTTCAATGCGTGATAGCTCGGTTAATATTGAACGTAGGAAGATACCGTCTGAACATATCCTATTATTATTTTTAGCTGATCTTCAAAATTCAAGCATCAGTACACGATTTTGCGACCGTAGCAACTGATTCATTCCCGAAATATTCTTCTTATTTTTTATTTTTTTTAATTTTTATTTATTTTTCAATAGTTTCACTGGAAAAGAAAGTCGCTTGGATCTAGAGTCCAGACTCTTAGTAACATTGACAAGAAAAAATACTCTTGATTCAATCCGCTTTTTCCTTGAATCGAAGAGCCGAGCCTAAGAGATTTGGGCGGATTTCTTTTTGATCCAAGGAAAAAGTCCCATTGAATCAAGAGTAATTTTTCTTGTCGATGTTTTTAAGAATCTGGACTCTAGATCCAAGCAACTTTTTTTTTCTAGTGCACCAAGTTATTTTGTTTGAAATGGATGAGGCATTTTGAAGATTTTGAAGATTTCTCAATATTGAATTCAAAATTTAATCAAGCTTTTGGTTCTGTTGACAGGAGTTAGGAAGTGGACTTGGGCGAGAGCGCGGGAGCGCGGCGTGGTCTTGGGCTGGGGTCTCTGGCTGGGACGTTGCATGCGATGGCCGATCGTCACCTCGGATGGGCCCTGCTCCTGACGGCGGCTATATCCCTGCTGCCCGCGCCGGCCTCGCCCCAGGAGACGGTGCAGGGCCCCGGGTTCGCGGCCAAGGCCTCCACGCTGGCGGCCACGACGCTCGGCCCCTCCACGACGGCGGCCCGCGACCGGGGCAAGACCGGCACGGAAGCCGCCCCCGGGGCCGGCGTCGCCGACTGTGAGCCGGACATGATCGGCTTCGAGCTCGTCACCGGCTACGTCTTCACCGCCCCCGACGACCTCCTCGACTCCATCCCCGGCACCCTCATGCTCACCGACTGCCTCGAGGCCTGCCAGAACAACGACACTTGCCACTCCGTCAACTACGAGACGGGGCTTTGCGTCATGTTCTCCTCCAACGCCGACAAATACCCAGGTTAGTCATCACGCTTTCTTTTTTCTTCATTTGGACGTATTTCTGTCACACGGAACTAAGCGCCAATTTGAGTTCCTTTAGAGGAATTTCGAATGCCGGGTGGCGCGTTCTGTCAAAAGGAACTAAGCGCCATGGAAAAGCATTGCGAGTATAGGACGGAATGAACCCGACGCCCGATTCCGCCGCCAATCCAAGCCCCCCTCCATCTTCCTCCCCCTATGGCCCTTAGTTCCGTTTGACAGAAATACGTCCATTTCATTCCCATAGCCTTCATCGGAGTCTCCGGTTATCTGCCACTTCCAGAAAGACTATGAAAGGATGGGGTGCTGTGGCGGCTAGGCGCCGCTGCAGCCTGATTGATGAAATTTTGTGTTTGTCGGATAGACATAGATGCCATAGGTTAAAAGGCGGAACGTGATTGGTCGGCTATGTTTTATCGTTGCTTTGACGTGCCTATGTCGGGTGGAACTCACGACAAGCTAAAGGCACCTCTTAAGTTTAAGACCGTATGTACGCACGCTCCGCCTTTTAACCTGTCATCTATGTCCACCCGACAGACTCAAAATTTCAACAATCAGGCTGCAGAGCGCCTTTCGTTTCTTCTGGAAAACGTCTAGAATAGAAGATGGCTCAACAATCGAGATGAGCGGGAAAGTCTGAAATACACTCCTAATCTACGTAAGAAATATAATTTTTTTTAAAATTTCCGACCTAAAAGCGATACTACTCTCAAGTCGAGGCCAAAATGGAGGGGATATCCCACGCTATCCTCAGAGTACACGTCTACATTAATACAAACTCTCCATGCGAAGATAGGGAGCAAATACATAAGCAGGGTTGCCGTGTTTTCAGTCTTAGAGTCCCCAAATAAAGTGGCAGCCCTGTCAATGTATTTGCTCCCTATCTTTGCATGGAGAGTTTGTCTTGATGTAGAGGTGGTCTCTCAGGATAGCGTGGGATATCCCCTCCATTTTGCCTCAACTTGAGAGCTTTTTTGAGCTTGGGAGTTAATTTCAGAGGAAACCAGAGGCACCATCGTGTTTCCCGCGAACTTCTACATAAGTATCAACGGTTAAATCGCAAATTCCTCACACATGCAACATCTCCATTCTCCATTCTTCTTTCTGCCCTACTGGAGCTTGCAACGGCCAATTCGGCAACACACTTCTCGGTCTTTTCGAGCCTCCATCCCGTTGGCTATTGAGTATGACATCAAGCCGAACGAATGAGTCTGTCAATAGCGAAGCGGGTCTCCATGTCATGTCGACGATCCCAAGCTCCCCCCATTATCCCACATCATGCCGTTTCTCCTATCCGAGGAGTATGATATCAACTCCGACCCGCCGCCAACAACTAACTGACGCTGTCGCAAAGGCAGCTACGGTGTCTCCCGCCCCGGCCGTAAAAGGACACGGGACATCTTGTCCCACGCGTCCGGACAACGTATCTGATACCTAAAAGCCTTCGGGATGTTACTCCAGCACGCGGGAGGTAACAGGAACTGGCAGGCGGAGAGTCGTGTGTACAAACAAGACAATTCACCAGGGAGACGTTTCCGCGCTCATTCAGTTTCCTAGGTGGGAGGTCATCATACCGACTAAAAGAAATTGAGGAGCTTTCCGGATAAGAGCACATGGCAAAAAATCGCGTGTGAGAAAAATGAATTTGAAGTTTCCATAATTACTTTTTGGCCACTGGTGGTGACTTTCATCGCAGCTTGGACTGCCGATCTAGAACGGCACAATCAGTGGCCATAGAGTAATGATGGAAACTTCAAATTCCTTTTTATTCAAACGCGATTTTTTGCTATGTGCCCTTTTTCCGGAAAGCTCCTCATTTTCCAAAATACATGAATATTTAGGGGTAATAATGATAAAAACACATTAAAATACAACATCAAATGGGTATACAAGGCTAGGGAGAAATAAAACAAACCAGGAAGTTTCTGAATTGTATGCTTTTCCGTGTTTTCACTTGCAAATTTCCGGCGACGCCTGCGACATATATCTAAATTATAACAGAATCTGACATTTTCTATCTGGCCTAAATCTCTGTTCAGGGTGTCTACTAAAACAGGCTGTACTAAATCAGTACTTTTTCAGTACATTCCCGAGAAATTCAGTACCTCCTCAACGGGAAAATTTAGTACTTTTTCAGTACCTCCATTTGACAAAATTAAAAAATTTTTCAACATTTTGAATTTCTCTCTCAAATTGCGACAAATATGTAAAATTCCGGACTTTTTGGCGGAATTTCGGCACTTTTTCAGTACTTCCGGACCGTCCTTAAAAAATCAGGAAACTTAAAAAACCGGAAATTCCGGACTTGTAGACACTCTGCTCCTGATGCTGTCTAACGTATGCAAACTTGCAAATGTACTGTGTTCGATATGAGTATTTCTCGACGACTTTCAACTTCCACGCAAGACTCACTTGCTAAGAGACATCCGAACAAATGAGCGGCTGTAACTAGTGTGTGGGCCGAGGCCGCGGGCGCCGACGGTAAACGAGCTTTATCTGCAGGCGACAAAAGAGAGCTGGAAGTTAAGCCATTAGGCGCGTACTCTTCTTCAACTTGGTGGGCGGCTCCTCGCGCGAGTGCCGCCGAGTCAAACGGGCGTTTACCCTCACAAGGAGCCGCAGGTGTTGGACTCGGGCTAATTGTCAGATTGATAAAACACCAACTACACCGTGATAATGGCACAAATATGGTTGCCGCATTGAGGATTGCAGATTAAAGAATTTGCTCGTTTTCTAATGCGCTCAAATACAGGAGAACTCCTTTTTTTCTTCTTTTTCTTCAGGAGAGACATTCTGAGAACAAGGGAGTTTCTCGTGAGCGTGGCCTACCCTAGATAGCACCCTAAGTGGGATGCTCCAATCGAGTTAAAATTTAAAAGGTTGAAGACAGCGAGCTCTTCTGTGGATTGTATTCAACGTATCATTGGAATTTCAGTTGGAAGCCTTCACTGGAAAAACAAAAAAAAAAACACATTGGATCTAGAGTCCAGACTCTTAAAAACATCGACAAGAAAAAATACTCTTGATTCAATCAGATTTGAGCTTAAATCGAGAACCAAACCTCTTAATTTGAGCGGATTTCCTTTTGATTTAAGCTTAAATCTAATCGAATCAAGAGTATTTTGTCTTGTCAATGTTTTCAAGAGTCTGGACTCTACATCCAATGTGTTTTTTCTCCAGTGTTTATTAGAGAGAAAGTGTAGTATGAGTATCTACGTTGGGAATTTTCAAAAAAGACGCCCAATCGCCACAAAACTCAGTCCTCCTACAATCCACCAGGGGGTTGACACTCCCTCATCTCATTTAAAACCCCCCGTTGCCACCCTCTCACTGGGCGTCCCCTTCGTCTGTGATTTGACCTACATGTTATTTTAACTCCCACTGGAGGGATATGAGAAATAGTGAAATAAGCTCCCAGAATTCAAACACGGTACTCGGACCGCACAGAAAAAAATAGATGGTGCTGACGACAGAACCTTTTGTTCACACGGCTCCCGCAGTTTCTTTGTTACACTTACAGAATTTTTCTGTTGTGAGGACAGAACTTCGGTCGTGGGAACAGAGTATTCTGTCCTCATAACGGAAGCTTCAGTGACTGTAACAAAGAAACTGCGGGAGCCGTATGAACAGAGGGTTCTGTCGTCAGCACCACCTATTTTTTTCTGTGCAACCTTTGGCCTAACCTAATGGTTATTTCTGACTCCGACGAGGAACCGATCTGGCACCACGGAGCGGGTACCGAGCGCCGAATCGGAGCGCGGAAGCGATTAGGACCCCGTAATTACAAGCCCCCCCCCCCCCCCCCCNACACGATGAGGGGGGAGAAAAACACCTCAAAACACGGCGGAGCACGGACACATGTTCGGTGCACGCGCCTCGGGATAGCGACGGGGCCGGGAGCCGAGGGGCACTCGCGCCGCGCGCCGGATATTAATCGGGTGCGTTTGCATTCGAGTGTTCTCGTATTTGCACAGAGGCTAGCGGGGTGGCGCGGTGAGAAGGGAGGAGGTGAGGTGCGCGGGCGAGCTTTAATTGCGGCGCGTTATAAAATAAATAATGGGAAATCATCGAGTCATCGCGTTTGTATCATGCGTCGCTTGCGCCGTGATATATGACTTGGCCTGTTCTTAATCGAGCCTGACGCTGTCTGCGTCTGCGCGCCGCCGCACAGTGCATCTGGCAGGGTGTCTACGAAAGCAGACTGACCAGAAATCAGTGCTTCTTCAATACTTTTCCAGTACATTCCCAAGGATTTCAGTACCTCCTCAACAGAAAAATTCAGTACTTTTTCAGTACTTCCAATGGACAAAATTCTAAAAATTTCAGTTTCTCGCTCAAATTGTCACAAAAATGACAAAAAATGATATAACTTTCGGACCTTTTTGAGGAATTCCCGCACTTTTTCAGTCCTTCCGGACCGCTCTTAAAAAATCAGTACTATTTCCGGACTTTGCGGAAATTCCGGACTTGTAGACACCTTGATCGAGTCACTTAGAGAGGTCGGACATGACATTTTTTACTAAAACTCCAAATTTTGATGTTTATTTCATCACATTTTGAATTTTAGGAGGTGCTTCCGGATGAAAACTTCACGAGGAACCACTTTCAGAACCTCAAAGTTTTGTACAAATGGAGTTATAAGCGATTAACGTTTCCAAATTTTGTCCGACCTCTCCTATTGACTTGATCCACTGTGCGCCGTGGTGCGCTACCATTTGGGGAGCCCAACGCTCGCTCCTTCGGGTTCCAGTAGCGTGGCGCGCTTTGCGATGAATCGATCTGCCGTTAAAATTCATGGAAAAGGATCGATTATCGATGTACTCGCGAGGAAATCCGTTCTAGTCGATTCTAATCAGCAGATTTGCCACTTTGGGTGGCGATTCCAGGGCTGGAACTACGGCAACCCTGGCATGGTATTTGCTTTCGCTCCATGAATGCAGAGCTTGATTGGATAAAAAGGTGGATTCTCTCATAACATAG